ACAAAAAACAGTCATGTTCAAATAATGGCAAAAATGCCAGTGAGTAGGATCTTCTTAGAGGACAACCTTCCCCTGACATTCCCCCCGCTCCCCTCTGAACAGATGCAATGTGCAGCATGCCCAGAAGGTCAACTGACTTGAGACCCAATTCTGGTCTCACTTACACCACCATAAATTAGGAGTAACTCCACTGAAGTCATAAATGTGATCAGAATCAGGGCTGTGGGTCCTACATAAGCAATGCACCTGACCCCACTCAAGACATGGAAATAAAGGGCTTTTCAGTTTGGGTATCCCAGGTCATCTCAAATATTGCACTAAGACATGCGTGAGTATATACCATTGAGTTGAGTTGTACATGCATGTCTGAGGGCAAAAATACAAACCATGAGCTCAGGAGTTCACTTCAAAAATTAAAAAAAATCACTTTTGAGTTGCAGGGAACTTGGCCTGGATAGCCAGATTAAGATGATTGTCTGAACAGTTTAGCCAATCATAATTATTAATACATTCATTTATATTTATATTACCCGCCCAGCCAAAGACCCCAGTTAGCGTCAGTGTTCCATTGTGTTAAGAACTGTACAAACACACAGGAGGTAGAGCTTGTTGAAATATTGTGAACTAAAAGGTGTCTAATACAAAATGGCCTTTTCTCAATAACAAACTTTTTTGTTGACATTGTTGAAAGTTTTCATGTTTCACAAAAATGGTTGTATTTTGTCATTTTTTGTCTTTCAAAAACATGATTGGAATGGGTATAAGAACAACAACTGGGTTTCTGGTAAACTAATCAAAGCCTATGAGCATTTTGATAAGCTTTCTGGTAACATTTCTGATTTTTTTAAAAATATGTTTAAATTATCAAAGAAAAGAAAATTGGGTCATTTTCAAACTCCCCACGTTGAAAACAACTTCAATTTTTTTTTCACAAAAATAGGATTTAATTTTTCTACGTGCTCTGTCAGGAAGATGTGGTCCTTGTCCTAAAGAATATAAAGTGACTTTAGTTTCTTAACACACCGAATGATACTGGTTAAAATGTTATGGGTCTCTATAGCTATGAGTATTGCCTATGCTTTAAAAATAAATTGTAGTCACACATGGGCCTGGAAGGTTGTTCTCTGATTATATCCATTGTGCACCACAACTTGGAAAATTAGCTGGCGGAGGGATTTAGGTTGCCAATATTAAAAAATAAGATACACTTCATATATGAGAGGGTGTGGGAAGGCTATTGAAAAGTACTCTATAAACAAAGTGCAGCCTTGTGGAATTGTATAGTAAATCCATGCGTCAAAAGGCATAACTTCATAGTAGTTACTGTATTGTTATGCTAGCATGTAGTCAGTGTACCGGGATTCTAAAAATGACATGTATTAAGTATGAGACTAAAATGGCAATACTAAATCACTAAGGCATCAAGTACAACTTCCGGTAATATGAATTAGTCATACAAAGTAGTAATTACACGTAACAAAAAAGAGAGTTGTGCTGTAACTACACTGTAATAATAGTTTAACTGCACGCTAGTTAATGTGCCTGTATTATGATGTTTACCCAAAAAATACACAGTAGTCTACAGTGTTTGTCATTAAAAGTTCAACACTGGCAATGGATACCATGCAATTGTCCCAGTTCTTTCCAGCTATCGCCCTGATACAGCAAAGAACTTAAACATGCTTAATTATTGCCATCTTCATCAACGGTACTTACATGTGCTTAAAGTTCAGGGAACAATTGCTATCACAATATGGTTATTGTTGACAAATGCCAACCCCACTTTTTACGGCGATCTCTGTAGGACTTGGGTAATGTAGGGCATCCCATTTTGTGCTGTCTTTTTTTAGAACTGGTTATTCCTCAGATCAGAAGGGCAGGTCCTCAGCTGGTGTAAACTGATGTCGTTCCACTGAAGTCAGTGGAACTATGCCCATTTACACCAATTGAGAATCTGGATCAGAATATGAAATTACACCCATTTACTCTAAAGGTACGTTTGTTAGGTACCTTTTTTCCCCTTGATTGACTGGAATTTGCCATGGAAAACATACAGTAAGGGATTGTGTAGGTCCACTTCACATCTGTTCCATTTCCATTGTTTCAGGGCTTTAAATCAACTGGTTACTGAAAGTGCACTTGAAAATTAATTTCCAGCAAAGCTTTTGCCGACAGCTGACAGCTGACAGATTGCTGCATGGCTATATATATATATTGTTCGTGCCCTAATGTGAAATGAAGGTCTTTGAACAAAGTTTTTTGTTTGTTTTTCTTTCTTTTATTACGTCTGCAATTCCACAATGCCATGAGTCGTGCCATGTTCTTTGGTGCTATGCGTATCAGTGTCTCTGATGAAACAATTTTACCCAGTAGCCAAATCCTACGTATTGGGAATAGGCAAAGTATAACTACAGGCTAAATGTGGCCTTCCTGTATAGTCCATGTGGCAGCAGCCTGATTCAACAGATAAGATGCTGAACAGGGAGTCAGGAGACTTGGATTCTATTACTGACCCTGAGCCTGATCTGCAAGTCACTTCTCCTTTCTACACCTCTGTTTCTTCTCCAACCCTTTCTTTGTCTTGTCTATTTTGACAGTAAGTTCTTCAGGATAGGATCTGACTCACACCAGGTGTTTGTACAGCACTTCGCACAATGAGGCACCAATTCCAGGCCTCTAGGCTGTGCTATAATACAAATAATAATGATAAAAACATGAAAACATTGGTGTGGCCCATGGAGACTACATATCGCAGTATGCAGTTCCCCATCTTGACCCCAGGAGTGGAGACCACTAGATCAAGATAAAGGATTGCATGCTAAGATCTGTGGTCTTTGAGCAATGCACCTCTTGTATTAAAGAGGAAAGAAGGTACTATCAACCTGATTTAGGCAGCCGTTGGCTCCAGGCAGGCTTCAGCAGAGCACAATTTGGGTGTCCTTATTCTATTTTTTTTTCTTTCCATTCAATACAGCCTATTACGTTTCTAGTCACGTGATGTGCCCAACAAATCCATTATTAAAAAGATGCATGGCTCATTATTGCTAATTTCTTTGAGTCTGCACACATCATATAATCCAAACGTACATGTATATAAAAGGGAAGATCTGCTATTTCCCCATAACCATTTCCTCTGATTCTGGGGATTTGCAACAGAGCTATTAATACAGGAGTTGGTAAGATTTTGGCTCTGACTTTCAGAGGTGCTGAGCACTCACAAGTCCAACTATAGTTAATTGAAGTTGTGGTCACTCAGCGCCTCTGAAAATCATGCCCTTTGTGTGCCATGGTACAATTACTATAGTTTATATTATGGTCATGCCTAGAGGCCCTAACTGAGACTGGGATCTCATTGCTGTAAATATCGTACATACCCATAGTAAGAGACAGTCCCTGCTCCAAAGAGTTTACAGTCTAAATAGACAAGATGAACAAACAGTCAGAGTTCAAATGTAACAGATCCAGAAACAGAATCCAAGCCTCCTACCTCCCAGTTCAGTGCCCCGTGTGCTAGCATGTGTCCGTGTACCCGGACTGGGAGGCATGCTCTCCCAGCTGCAGTGTAGAGATACGAGGCCAGGGACCATTGTGCTAGGCACTGTAAAAACATATAATAAAGGGATAGTCCTTGACCTGAGGAGCTTACAGTTGAAGCGTAAGAGTATAGACAACTGTTTGATATCTATGCCCCATCACTCGTGATATGTTAATCCATACTAGGAAAGTGATGGAAGTGATACTGTATAGTCATGTAATAGTCAAGCTAAGGAGGCTGCACTAAAGAACTAATAGATCTTATCCAAGTCTCTCTTTTTTGATTCTGTGGATTTGGAGGTCCAGAATCTCAGTCCAGTTACATCCATGCTAATCTGGAGTAACTCTACCGATACTAGCAAAATCTGCCTAGATTTACAATGGTGTCAATGTGACTGAAATCTGGCTCAAAATGTTAGTTTTGCAGCTTGATTCTTCTGTCACACAGACCAGTGTAAACCAGGAGTATCTCCACTGAAAAAAACAGAGCTACCCTGGTGTGAGTGAGAGCAGAATGAGGCCTATCGCTCTGCTCTGTGGATCTCATACTCTTATGGCCAGAGAGAGGCACATCGTTTTCTAAGAGGCCAAGCTCCAGTTCCCCATCAAAGACAAATCAGTCTGTACATAGATCATGGTTTTCCAAGAGTTGCCATACATACAGAAGTGGGGGGAAACACCAGCACACTTTGTCCCTCTGCAACCCAGCAAGGATGGAGTTAACATGACCTAGAGGCTGAAACAAAGAAAGCTTTCCTTCTTCATGCTTTGGCATGCCTGTTACTCACTTCTATGAGTATTTGCATGACCATAAATTCTGAGCTCTGGAGGATAGACCCAGCCAAAGACTACATGTGCAGGATACTATAATGGAAACTGCATGTGTTGTGAGAAGTTGTTAAATGGAACCATTGGATGATAATGTGCCCAGCGTTGTTGTTAATATCAGTCGATTTCCTCCCACCATCCATAAAACAAAGACCTCCTCCCAATCAATTCTACCTTTGTGACGGGTCTCTCTCTCTCTCTCTCTCTATATATATATATATATAATTTTTTTAAAGAGAACATTTTTGTCTACCAGAAAACCATAAAAGACCCAGGAACTGGCCTGGGTTTCTGAGCAAGACTTGGGTTGCAGCATGCACAAGAATACAAATAAGCTGTGTCTGTTCATTCCCATTTTTGCTTATTGCCTAGCAGACAATGACATCTTTTGGAAAAGTCTGACACAATCCAATACATTTGTGAGCTTTCCCAGTCCTCTTCCCTACTCTCCTCCCAATAAAGAGGCTTTTCTTATGGCTTATTGAAACATTTCCTTGTATTGGTTCTAAAAGTGCCAGCCATTCATTTAATCATATGCCCCTTTGCATTGTGGGATGGAGTTCATTTGCCATTATGCCCTTCACAGTTTTGAATGATGCAGAAGTCTTCTGAAAGGGCTTTCTATTGGGCTTTGAATGATGTGGTACCTTGTACACCAGCACCCTGGACTGGTCCTGCTCCTACTGAGGTCAATGGTAAAATTCCGCTGTTTTCAGATGTTGGCTGATTGATCCACAAATCCCTAATGCTTAACCAAAGTGGTGAGAAAGGATTTGACAAGATTCAAAGTGGAACTGGAGATTTATATGGGTAAGAGAAATAACTAACAATAATAAATGGAGTACTGGAAGGGTGATGAAGCCTTATGTGTCATGGTTTAAACCAACCCCATGAGACCTTCATGGGAAGTAGATTAACCCACCTCCGCCTACTTTGGGTTTCTTGCACCTTTCTCTGAAGCGTCTGGTGCTGGACACTGTCAGAGTCTGAATACTGGACTAGATGGACTTTGGGTCTGATCCAGTCTGGCAATTCTTATGTGCCGTGTACATTTTAGAGAGAAACGGGAAGGAGAGGAGGGAGAACTGTAAATCCAACAAACAAAAATGAATTTTCCTTTTAAAGCCTGATAGCTCAGAATCTGTTGGTCCATTGTTTTCCTGTGAGTCCCAAGCTGAGTACGCTGTGTTTCCCCTGCAAGAATTTATCATATCACGAGCACCTCAAGCAGAGCAAAGAGTGCAGGAAACAGCTCTACTCGAGGTGTCGGGGATGTCGCTAACTGTTTCTGAGAAAACACAGAACCCTGAACTCAAGTCTTGGCAGGTAAGTAAAACAAAGAACTGGTTTTCCATAATATTTGCCCGTTTCTCTGTATTTTCAGCCTGCACTCAATGCCACAGCTGTTCATGTAATTTTCTCTGCCATTAAAGGTTTAAGACATGAAATGTCTTTTTAAAATATTTCTTGCAGAGGCTTCTGAGTACCCCAAGTTGGTTCTCATGATGGCTAAAGGGTGGACAGGATTTGCACTTCCCAGAACCGTGCAATGACTGCCTTTCAGACCCAGGCTGGCAGGGGTGCTCTTGCTGCTACCTCCATACATTTTATTAAGATACAATCACAAGAACTAGAAAGTTTAGCCGGGGCCCTGATTCAGCAAAGCATTTAAGAGTGAGTGCAATGGAACTTCACTAGGATTTGACCCTGGGTTTAAATGCTTTGCTAAACCTGGACCTAAAATGTTACCTTTGTGGTGCTGAATTCATTGTTATATTTGCAGGGGGTGATGCTATGCTCAGTGATGTACAGAACAGACAAGAAGAGCCACAGGGATGATTAAAGGATTAGAAAACATGCCTTGAGGTGACACACAAAAAGAGCTCACTCTATTGAGCTTAACAAAGAGAAGGTTAAAGGGTGACTTGGTTATAGTCTGTAAGTATCTGCATGGAGAACAAATATTTAATAATGGGCTCTTCAATCTAGCACAGAATGGTATAACACAATCCAATGGCTGGAAGTTGAAGCTAGACAAATTCAGATTGGAAATAAGGTGTAAATTTTTAATGGTGAGAGTAATTAAGCACTGGATCAATTTACCAAGGGTCTTGGTCTCCATCACTGACAACTTTTAAATCAAGATTGGAGGTTTTTCTCAAAGATCTGCTCTAGGAATTATTTTGGGGAAGTTCTGTGTTGTGTGTGTTGTGCCGGAGGTCAGACTAGATGATCACAATGGTCCCTTCTGGCCTTGGAGCCTATGAATCTATGAAACAGGGGATCTCATCCCTCTCCTACAAAAGAACAAGTGCTACCGCCCTGTTGCAAGAACTCAGTCTATTAGAGGGTAAAGCCCAAGCTTGCACCGGTGCTAAGTCAGGTGACCAAGGGTCATGTGATGCAATGCCTAGTATAAGAAGGGTCATTGCTCAGTGGTGAGCTAGATAGAGAGAGGGGGGAAAGAGCTTGCACTGGATAAGCAGAAAGTTGCATACTGGGGACAAGTGAACAGACATGGAAGCTGAAGGAACCTGCTGCTTCACTTAGTAGAGCCTTGGAGCTGGAGCCTAGGGGAAAGAGGGTGGGATTAGGTCCTGCAATGCTGTTGCTGCAAAGGTAAAGGATTAACTGCAATCCCTAGTGGGAAGGTTGCAGAGACCCTTGCACCAAAGGGTGGATTGGAGGGGGGCTGTGAGCACCTACTTCAAAGAAGGGGAAGTGTATGTTATGATGTTGGAGAAGCTCCTGAGAGCAAAGGTCAGAGAAGGTTAATGCTGAAGAGGGATAAGGGATGGGCTATTTGTGCACCTCTGCTGCTTAAGGGAGGAGCCACTTATATTTATGGTGTGGAGTCTAGTAAACCAGCCCCCAACAAGAGATGTTACTTGAACTATATGGGTGTGTTTACTTTCCTCTAGGAGCACAGAGGGGAAACTGAGGTATTGTGGTGTGCTACTCATGGGGTGTATCAGCCTTCCTGTAAGGGTGTGTAATGTAACACCTTATTGTCCAAGTGCCAGTGTCTTCAGAAGGGCTGCTTGCAGTCAAGTGCTACTTTGCTTTGATGGGTTTCAGAGTAGCAGCCGTGTCAGTCTGTATCCGCAAAAAGGACAGGAGGACTTGTGGCACCTTAGAGACTAACCCATTTATTTGAGCATGAGCTTTTGTGAATTTGTTAGTCTCTAGGGTGCCACAAGTACTCCTTTTCTTTCTGCTTTGATGGTGAGAGAAAACGAAATGAAAATGCACCATATAGGTGCTGGGGCAAAGTGAAAATCCAGGGGAAGGCCAGTATTCAGTGGGATAATTTACAGAGTAAAGTGCTATTTAGCATGAGTGAGAATGGCAGAACTGGGCCCACAGGTAAGGGTTTTGTAGGTTCAGGTCGCTGCCCCCCGCTGTGAATGGTTCACAATCTCAGGGGTCAATCCGGCAATGCATTGGCAGACTGCTGTTCTTGCTCAGCGCCCCATTGATTTCAATGCCTGAATGTATTTAGTTGCAGGATTGGGGCCAAAAGGCCGTGTCCTGACAGGTTTATGGAAAAATCCTCTGGATTTTAATAGAAATGAAGTCAATGAGGTTTACAAGAAACTTCTCTTAAAGCCCTACAGAACTGAATAGAGAAGGAGACTTTTTCTGTAGCAGGGATAGAATTCTATAGTAAATCCTGCAGGATAGTTGCAAACACCCAGAGAGAGGCGATTCTATTAAGGAGAGGATTAATTAAGAGGATTTGCTATTCCCTTCTATAGGGCTTTCCCATATGGGTGGGTGATGAGCAGAATGCTATGGCAGGAGCATACCCAGTGCTCATTAAATCAGTGTGACTGCTTGCTTGAGGAAGGACTGCAAGAGCGAGCACCTAACAATGGAGTATAATTTAGACTCTCTCCTTTTCTCAATGGAAGGCAGATGCCTCTCTGACTGTATACAATGGCTCAGGCACCGAGTGAGGAATCGTTGGGCCTTCTTTCTTCCTTCTGAAGTGGACTCTTCTCATTCCCCACTGCCAGTTCCCTATGATTGAAATTTGAAAGCATGTAGCTGTTAATCTGGGAGTGATTAAAGAGCCTCATTTCTTGGAAGAGTCGGTACTCATCATCTGCTGTGATGAATGAGCCTCTAACATCCCCTGATCCCATTATATTGTGATTAATTGTGCCAGTTTAAGTCAATAATTCATTTGTTAAAAATAGGCCTGCAAAGTATCATTTGTCTCTGGGGAGATATCAGAATAAAAAAAATTCATTTGATACTTCTCATTAAATTAGTGTTGGGAGTTCTATTGACGGGTTCTGTTCATGAAACATTTATTGCAGGCTTATTTGATAAGAAGTTGTATTTGTCTAAAATTATGTCTGCTAACAGATGTAACGGCCTGCATTTTTCCAGTGTTAATGAAAGAATAAAGAGTCTGAAGAGGTGCATGACTAGGGAGAAAAGGCTGTCGTGACAAGGGGAGGGATTTCTGAAGCTCAAACAGACAGGAATAATATCCCAATCTTTCAATACAGACTGGGGTCTTTCCCCAACCCCCCACCCGTAAGTCTGACAGTGTGTTAATGGGAAGTTATGTGCCTGCAATAAAAGATGTATGTGTCCCAAACTCTCATAGTATAAATGGTTATAAATGGTGCATTCATATTCATTGAGCCATTATAAATGTTTCAGTTGTGAACCATTCTAAAAGGAATATATAGGGAATAGTAGCTAGTCTACTAATGATAATGGCCATAACTGACAGACACATGCTTAATATCTTCATTTCTAGTCACTTGTACTTTGCATCACTGTAATATTCCCAGTGCTGTGTGGAAGGATGTACAGATTATGAGCTCCCACTAAAACTGCCCAAACTACCCCTATGGAGGAGGATCTTTTAGGATATGTCACCTTTTGATCTCCAGGTAGCTGGTTCAAATCCAGCCCAAGTTGTTCAGGGACAAAAATCATTACCATCTAATGCACAGTCAGTGGCCTGTATGGATTAAGCCATACGTGATCTCAGTCACTTTGACCCTCTTCCTGTCCTGTTCATTAAAATGTAGGCACTTTGGGGGCAGTGACACACTCCTTGTGTGTGGATTCAACTGCTCACAAAGCCCTTCCAGCCTGTAAAACTGCCTGGAATAGCGACCTCTGTTGTTGGGGAGAGTACGGATTTGTTATCAGTGGAGTGATCCCCGGACAGAGGGAGTGTGAAATGGGGGTAGGGAGTAGGTGGAACCTTGAGTCTCCTCCTCTTCTCCCCGCACCCTCTCTAATGACCTGCTAGGGGAAGGACTATGCTGTGCCCCTGAAAGGTGTGTGAGAAATTATTCTATCACCTGGTACAATTGGTGGGCTCTGGGAGGCATAAAGATAGAATGCCTCCAGTGCTGTCCTTGGTACAAAGCAGTTCTGCACTTGCCCCTTCCTACCATTTGTCTTAAAGGCATAATTGAAACCCAAATCGTTAAATGAAGGTAATGCTGGTGAAGAATGCTGAATTGATATCCCCGGAGGGCTGGAGTTCCCTTCTAATGGTCTGAGTAGTTATGGCAAAGGCCGTGGCTCAGTCCTAGGCTGGAGAATCTGCCTCTGAGGTTAAGAAGAGTGTTCAGGGTGGGAGGGAGCCCCACACTTCCTCCAGCTGCTATTCAATCTCTTCATCTCTTTGCTGAGATTGTGATAAAAGAGCCAATCGGTGCCAGTTTCAAACCTGACACCCGTCACCCCCAGGGAATGGACTGACCCCTGTAAATTTTGACCATGGGGCACTTTCTGGAAGAAACTTTAGCTGTTAATAACTTTCAGTTACCACTGACCGTAGATGCATTTGAATCAGTGACCTAAAGAGTCCAGAGCCCCATTCTAATTCTTGGAGCTATTTCCCTTCTGTGTTAGCAGGGCTCTTCCTGCAGCAATATGCAAACAGTTCGGGTTCTCTCAGTACAGCCTAGTAGGAAGGGCTGGGGTCTATGGGTTAGAGCCGGTAACTGGACGCCTGAGTTCTATTCCTGGCTCTGCTGTTGAATTTGACCCAATCATTTTGACCCAATCATTTAAAGACATGCTGTAGTCAAACACAAGTTAGTGGGCTCAATACAGGGCTGAGTAGGTAAAATTCTCTGGCCTGTTATACAGGGGCTCGGACTAGATGATCTAATGGTCCCCTCTGGCTTTAAAACTCTCTGAATCTCCTTGTGCCTCAGTTTCCACATCTGAAATTGGGATAGTAGCGTTCAATGGACGGGGATGTCGTGAGCTTCCTCTTGTTAATGTTTGAAAAGCACTTCGAGGTCCTTTGCTGGAAGGTGCTAATGAATAGCAAAATGTTA